TAACATTAAATATAAATCCATAAATGTGTAAAATATTCTTTAACACTGCAAAGCTGCGTTGATTCAATTTAAAAAAAATTATTTATTCCTAAATTATTGAGGTTAAAAAATTATTTATTTTTAGATTATTGATTTCAAAGATTAAGTAAAAACGTTTTTTTTACAAAATTTTTGAAGTTTTTGGTATTTTTGTATTTTTTTGTAGGTACAGAACATCCAGAAGGCGTAGACTATCTGGCGACTAAGCTGGGCAAGCGTCAACTATCGAAGAGATCTCGATTGCCTCTTCCTTTGCCTGCGGACAACGGCGATATTCCGTGTGACAATTATGCGAACAGCGACGAACCGAGAAGCACGAGAGGTCCATTCCTTGCTCCAGACGCGCAATATGAGGTGATTCAACAAGGCTACTCCTATTACGGGTCGAAAAATGACGAGGAGCATGAAGGTCCGCCGAGTTCTAGCTACTTCCGGGAAGAGGAGAACGAAAGAGGACGTGAAAGGGATTATAGGGATTACAGAAACAACCAGGAGGAGGAAACGCCACAGTGTTGTTTGAGCGATTCGACGACTCTGGACTCTGGTTGGCAAAGCGGAGAGCAGCAGCAATCGGACGATAACGTCCGACCGGTAAACGTGTGATTTTAGACCTGTAAGATTCTTAGCGAAAACGATAAAATATTGATTTCCTGGAAGTGTTACATGAAAACCATTAAATTAAAGTAGCGAAGATGCCCGACAATAGCTTTTGATCTGTAAATATTTTAGATCGATCATATGTAGGCCTTGTTCTTAAGTATAGAAAACGACTGAAATTGCTGGGATTCAATCCCTTTGATCTTAATTGATGGAATAGAGAAGTTAAGGAGAACGTAGTTCGAGTTTGACAGATATGATCCTAGTCGGTTGATAACAGGTTTGCTTTTGAAAAGTGTAGCTAAACTTAATTAAACAGTTGATGCACTAAGTTTAAATAATGTAGTGTGAAATACTCTCGATGTGTGTGTCAGTTCATATCATATCGATTTCCCTTCTCCCAAAAAAAGCAAAATTGCTAAAAAGACTTACTTAAGACAACATTTCGCGCTTTTTAAATTAAGTAGTAGTGATGCATGACACAAATATTTTTTCCATAAATAGTGTAATTCAATAGTTAGTAACTTAATTTTCGATATATTAAATTTTCAAAATATAAATCGATTAAATGAACATTACATGCTACAATAATCTCACATTTTCATATTAAAATAAATATTTTGATTTCGACGTTCTTTACACGAAGTGATTGACGATGAATTATATGCCATAAAAAACACATCGCTAATTAAATCCAGACTTTAGTGATAATTTGTAGTAATAGAAAACAATAATAACACAAATGCTGATCTCGATTTCGACAAGAGCAAACTGCCATTAATTTTTTTTTTATAAGAAGCTGCCAGTTTAATATAATTTATATATGTGTAAATTTTGTTCTTTGATTGAAGAGTAGACGTAATTAAAAGTAAAATCAAGTGATAAATTATGCTTGATAATTTATCCTTGATAAAATCGAACAATGTGAACAATTAAAAACAACTGCATAAAAGGTACATTATAATACTCGTCGTGTTCAGCATTAGACGTGCATCGATGATCATAATGGATGAAGCGAAGCTAAACTTGTCCATATTAAAACATGATTACTTTAAATAAATAAAAATATTAGACTCATAGGACGAAATACTCATGGCAAATTGTATGTATTTTTGCTAATTGTAGTGTTGCTCGTGCTGACCGTAGTAATAAATAATAGTGAATGTTAAGTATAATCGATAAATTATTTGCGATGAGAGAGCGAATGAAGGCGAGCGGGAGAAAATAAAAAGGAGGATTAGTTATGAGGTTGGGGATCGTTTGTTGAAAATATATATCCGCCAACAAACGGCTGTATGTTTATTAAGAAAACATTCGCTTTATTAGATATTCGTTTATTATTTCGTACTATTTATTTATCTTGATAGTAATATACGCTACAAGTTTATATCTTTATCTGATATTTTTGCCGAAATTTTAAGTCGATTGCGTATTGGAATTAAAATCATCGATCAATCAACAATTGTTCTTTGTTGGATACACGATAGATACCATGTACAAAAGTGTGATTTACTCTTGCCAATTAGGTGTTAGCTGTAAATCTCAAATATAGTCGTTGATTATCTCCGATATATCAACGGTACGTTCATAATCATAAGAAATATTTATAATGAGAGTATAATTTTTTGCAATTAATAAATTGTTTCATTGTCATAATTCTGGTTTATTTCTTAATCTTGCTTGGTATCCGCGACTGAAATATTTTGTTCTACATTTTTTCCTTGGTTGAGAATTTCATGCGGATTTTTCATTTGATATACGAATCTGTATTCCCTTTTAGAAGTGTAGTCATTAATTATTTATCTTTCAATCTTAAAGTAAATTTCTGTAAGGGTTATTATCAATGCTGAGTTAATGAATTACTTGTTTAATGTTCTTTAAACATTACTTACTTCAGAATTCAGGTGGACCAAGGACGGGATATAGAAGGAATATAGAAAGATTAATTAAACCTATTAGACTATTAGGATACCTGTCGGTTGTCTATTTTCGTTATCGGACGTTCAAAACGCAAATGTGAATAAAATGCATATTTTATCATTCGACAGCATAGTCAGAGTGTAGTGCAGTAACTTATTATAATGCTATTTAAGAGAATGAAATGTACCTTGAGGCGAGCCGCGAGTCGTAAGTCCAATGCACCATCGAACAATGTACTTGACAATGATTAAGAATAAAGGATGATTATGCGAAAAACGCTGCGCTCAGTACGACAGACATGATAATCCTCTCCTTAAACCGTGGCTTGTCCTTCATATAAAAAAAAATTACTAGATATTTAATAAACGTGATAAGCCAAAACGTAAATCCCATTGCTTATTAAATATAGGTATAAATTATAAAATAGAAATAATAATATTCATCTTAGAGTATGGTATATTTTTTTTGTAATATTCGCTACAAATATAATATCTTTTGTATTATTCGTTTAAATCTATACAGTACGAAAACGAACACGAACGCAACTTCATGCACGCGAGTAAACGTTCGAAAGGAATGCGGATTCCAAGGTGGTATTGCTATTGTTAATAGTCTCCTTAGTTAATATCAGTAGCCTCGTTGGCCAATATTGCTTGATATATCGTAACAAGTTATTAAACTTTCACAATGAGTATACGAACTAAAGACAAAGTCTGGCACGTAATGTTATTTTTAATTCGATTCTTAGATCGTGAGACACGTAGATTTTACGAATTAAAATTGATATTTGTCGAGAATGTTGCAGTTTTATTAAATATTACCGTTGTAATCAATTTATGTGTACGTTAATCAATTAGCAATATTACTAAAGTTATCATTAAATAGAATCTGTAGCATACATATTGTTTAACAATAATACTATTTTTTTCTTTAAATATGATGGGAATTTTGTTTACATGAGAATAAAATGTAACTTCATATTGCATCGTAAGTCGTACGAAATTTCATAAATATTGGAGAAATTAGAAGTGTATCTAGATATTGCTATAGGTTGTTAAGTAGTAATGTATATACATATACGAAATTCGTAACACAGTGCACATAATTGTTTTGTACTGCATGATAGAGCACTTAATCAAATTACGAGTACATTCGTATAAAATTCAGTAAGATACGCTATTAAGTTATTTATATGCATTACGTAATTAACGTTCAATAATCGCGGTAAAGTAACGACTTTAAATAAATATTTAGCTTATGTAAATAATTAGCACCTGTAAATAAACGTTTAATTGTTCTCGATCTAAATTCAGTTGCAAACTGTTTACAAAATATATATATAGTCGATTAATTAATTCTTGCTCGTTTGTGAATATATGAATCATTATTAATTACTCGATTTGCGAAAGATACTTTTGGTAATACAGACAGCAATCTGACATAGCAAGTAACAGTAAATAATTTGTTTCCATTGCTGCTGCGATCGCTATGTAATCAATTTATGTTTAAACGCAGCATTGTCATGTACCTATCAAACGTTAAAATTAAGTTTTCTTATTTTCATACATAGGTATCATAAGTGGAACATATGTTTGTTATAATTATTCTATCTCTATAATTAAAAATAAAATATATGTATATATCTGCGTTATAAAAGAAACAAGTGTAAGTAGTAACAAGGTATACGCTAGAAGAAACTTAGAGAGAGAGAGAGAGAGAGAGAGAGAGAGAGAGAGAGATCGGTACAGTATTGTATTATCTATAGTATTAAAGTACTATTAAATTGGTGTGTGTAGAAAGGACACTAGTCCAAGACACACAAAATTCAAGATTTGACAAAAAAATATATGATATACATCCTATTAAAATATAAAAGCCTCTTTTATGAGAATTTTGAGTGGCCAACAACTAAATTTAAAAAGCATTTAAAAAAAAACTCTTTAATATACATAGTATAATTTAATCTTTTCCGATAACAAGTTTATGCAAAATTTTGTCAAATAATTTTATAAATGTTCAAACCGGAGTTGAATCATTTTATTTTTATTTTATTTTAATTTATTCTTGAAGTTTTTTATTACTTTTATTTAAAATTTTATAATATTGCAGCAGAGCGTTAATTTTAGTGTTTTTGAAATTGTTTTGTGTAAGTTATCTCATATATTTTTTTTAATTTTAACATAAAGAGAGATTATTATTGTTTCACGTAATTTAAGATAAAGTACCTGTAGCATATTAAAGAATCTTTGATTTTTTTTCACCGATTCAATTTTAGGAATATTTAATAAGAAATGTTACAAAATATTTCCAAATTTTTTTAAAGTAATAAATTATACTAATATTTCGTGACAAAAAAAGGATGAAATATAAAATATTTTATAAATGTTTTAAGATATGTCTATGGAAAATCTATCAAAAAATTAGAGTCTATAAAATTATTAGCTTCAAGCACATTCAACAACTCTATCTGTTGCCTGATTTGCCAGGAATCTCTCAACTCTTTCCCTAAATTCCTTATTAGATTCTGGCAATGGTAATCGCGAACCGATATCAGCGAGTCCTTGCAAATTCTGAAAAGCTTCCGACAGTCGGCGATCGTGATCCAAAATATCCGGTTTGGGTGCTGGGGGTTTTCTCTTTTGCTGCGGCAATCTTGTCGTCTTTGATTTGACAATGTTGACATTACTGTTTTCCGGTAGTTGATTTATCATTCCGCAGAACGCAATTTTTGCGCTTAACAGCGACCACAAGATCTCTAAAAAAGAAGCCATCAAGACGTTTAAGGTCAGCAGCATTCTGGCATGCGAGTTCTCAAAATCTCTGTGCCAGAAGATCTGAGTTTTGTCCTTTGTTAAATTCATTGATCCTTGTGTAATATTTATCGTGCTTTTATTGTGGAAAATTACTCTGGATATCATCATCCTTTCTTCAAGTATGAACGATGCTTCTGTCATCGTGGGATTATTGTGAACTTCATCATTAATATGAAAGTTTGATGTGTTAAACTCGTTGCTTGGAGATTTTAAAGTGACAGGTAATTTATTAGAATCATTAATCTTCAAATAATCATAATCTTCAGTGAAGTTGAATGAATAATCCTCGGTTGACATAATATCTGCATGAGTATTGTTTGTAAGATTCTTGGTAGGATGAAGCGAATAATGCCGAGCATCGAGGGTTTTTTCCAACGGCCACAGAAATCCACGACTGCTGTTGGAAGCTGCCGCAACGTCGAAGATCGTGATGATGAAGCAGAAGATCGCTGCTACCAGGGAGAAGAGGTTACCGTAAAAGAAAATAGCAATGTTCCGGTCGATGTACCAACGTCGCCAAGCGAGGAGACCTGTCACGAACGGCACCAGGCATGCAATAAACAAAATCGGACCCTGAAAGGACAAGGCGAGAGTGCCCAAGAAGAGAGACAGTGCTCCGAGACCTAAGTGGACCAAGGACAGTCCACCGACTGTTGATGCTGAATAACGACGTTCTGATGGATACAAAGACGACAATGGTGGTTTCGTTTTCACTTTGATAACGTACACGGTCTCCGTCACTGTCTTCATCGCGACTGCACTTGATTGCACTAATAATTTAATTTGAAGAGTCTGATCGAGAGAAAGACTTATGTTAAGTACAATGCGTTCGGCACATTTTTGTTCGAGATAAACTCAATTCATGTAAGTCCACACAGTACATTGTCTCTGTCCACTCACATATTTAAAAGTTTACATTTCCATAAGTATCGTCCAATGTCGCAGAAGTATAAATCTCATTCAAATTGTGAAGAAAACATTTTTCTCTTCCTTGCACTGTCAAATAAAAAAAATTAATAAAATGTAGTATATGCTTGCTGTGTTACAAAATAAATATAATAAAAGAATCAAAATAAAATTTTATGAATGCATTTACAGATTAAAATATGTTAAACGAGATGAAAGTTGATATAAATTAATACAAATTTTGAAATATAAAACAATATATCACAATGATTCTTATCATCTGTTACAATTTATAAGCTAAAATTATATAATGTCTCTTTGAATGACATTTTAATATTTTCACACATTTTTTATTTATATTAATTTATTTACTCTCTTATTACAAGCAGTATAATAAATTATGTATATGTACCAAGCACAACATAAGCCAGTAATTTTCAATTGACTGAAAAGCAGATTATAAAGTTGAAAAGTTACGTGAACGTGATTGTGGATAATCAAATGAGTCACGATGCGCGATTGCGATCTTACAGTCATTTATGATTATATTGGGATATGTATTCCATAATCAAATATTTCATAATCGAATTTGAGACAAGATCAAATCGGGAACGTTTATAACGGTAAAGTCATCGATGTTTATAGCAAAGAAATTGCATTGACTTCCGCGTTGCTATCAAAAATAACCAATTATAGTAACCGCTTTTCATTTGACTTATTTGAAGTCTTCATCGATCTTCGCAGATTTTCCTTCACTCGACACGACTTCGTGAGATAGATGTTTTACGCAATCTATGAATAACAATCATTCGCTCGTGAAAGACTGCAGCTAGTCTCGAGCAACACCGAGCAGCTCACATCATAATACTCGTAAATATTTCTGTCATAAATAAAGTGAAAGAATAAGATTTTATTAAATGAGCATAATTTCAAAATTGGTTTTTTTTTTAACGCTAATATTGAAACGCTCTACAGAATAACGTGAGATTAAAAGGAAATTGTACGCTGTAATTGAAGTAACATGCAAGTAAAGAATTATTTTAAAGTTGCAACTAAATTAATCCAAAACTAGTTTTTATCTTGTAATTTGGTTCGCACATATTTATTGAATTTATTTATATAACTGATTCAGTTAATAGCATAGCTGAAGGATTAGACGCGTCGTTACCGTCGATCTTTTACTTTTTTCTCGTGCTAGTATTACGTAATTGATTACGAGACGTTGCGATTATGTTGCAAGTGTGCTCCTGTTTCTGTGCTCCTATTCGTTTTCACGTCGAATTAGCACTTAAACCTGTGTGAATCTTCGGTGAAATTTCTGGCGAACAATGAATGTGTATTTCAAGATAAATAATTCAAACAAGAAACTCTATAAAATGTTATATACAAAAGTTTTTTTTTTTATTTCAACGTTATTGCAAAATGTAACATTTAAAATATGAGGAATTAAATATTAAATTTGCGAACCATGCTTCAATTTTATTGCACTAATTTTATATCAACTTTATGTTCATAAGAATCTGAAGATGGATATCTCACAGAAATAAAAAAAAATTTTACAAATTTTATTTTATTATCGAACTTATCTAGGCAAGATGTACTGGCGGCAATATATAAATCACGTTTGATACTTATGCCGCGCTAAGACTTACTTTTGGTTTAATCAACTTTCAGAAAACGCACTTTTGTTATTGCATTTTGATAGCGTTAAACTCAAGGCTTGATAAACGATCACTCGCGCGCGATACTTGAGTAGCGACTGAATTATGAAGACTAGTCTTCGTTGAAATTGCTATGAACGAGCCTCCCACGCAACCGACTTGCAGTGAAAGGGACAACATAGAACAGCGCCGGATAAGCGTACCTTTGACTAAATCCTGTTCACATCATCGACGTCTCATACTTGCGCGGCAAAACGATCTTGGCAATGAGAGATAGATTATCTTGCGTTTTCTCTTTACCGTATATCACATTGTTATACATGCAAATGTGCAAGAAAAAACAATGGAAGCATGAATAAAACAGAAGAAAAATATAAAAATAATTATTTTTTAAGTAATAAAATCTTTTTGTTACGTACTTGAATGTTTTAATAAAAAAAGAGCAAGATGTGTTAATATATTATCATAGCGAAAATCTATGTATTTAAATGTGACTTGATGAACTTTTTGGAATAATAATCACTTTACTTGTCTCTCACGAGAACAAAATCCTTCCACTCGGTGTGAAAGTCCCGTTATAATCGAAGATAACTCTCTCAGAGAGCAAACGTATCCCAGGATCTTCGCGCATGAGCCAACCTTTATTGTTAACTGAAGAAACACGTGAGTTCAACATGCGACCTTTTCGATGGATCATCTACAGATTGCATTGCGGTAGAATTTTCACAGAAATACATAAAACAATGAAAAAGCGATACAAAATCTTTCACAATTGTACTATTTTATTAAATTATAATGAATATAAAATGATTATTTTCTCAATTTGATACATTCGGACACTGTTTTATGAACGAATAAGTCAAGAAAACGCAAAAAAGCTTAAAAATGATTTTATATATCGAGGTTATCTATTATAATCAAATTGATCATCGTGATTGTTAATAATTCTAAGTTAGAACGATATTTGAGTTAATATTCATCGTTTTTAATTGCAGAGAAATTTTATCTTAGTCCCAATTTAATTATTAAAAATTACTGATTTTTTATAAATAATAAATCTAGTTATGAATATATTTTTAATTATGTAAGAATATCATACATTTCTATCTAATGTGGCATAACCTTAGAAGCATACAAAATATATGAGATAAAAGATGAAACCGTACGATTACCACGTCTATCTATTAAAGATTTCTTCACGATAATCATGCGGATGCATAAGGACTAAGATTGCCTCATGCGATTGCTTAACTGGTCCTAGTAGCATTATTGTTATTAATATCGTTGTGTAATTAAGAGGACCGAGAAAGTATAGTTTAATAGAGCTGCAGCGGACAAATTTGAACATTATACCATAACGGTATCTCAATAGATCGCAATAATCTATTATAATAGATTAAACGAAAGAGAGAACTTTCACGATGTTACAGCAAAATCGTTCTACCGTCAATAAATTATTCATGCGAAAATTATGAAGCGCTTTCGAGAAGATCGAACGTTGGCACTGGAGACATCGAACTTCCGGTAACATTAATTGAACCGCAAACTCGTTCAAGCGGACGAAGTCGTGTTTTAGAAAAAACGTGCAAAAAATCATATCCCGGTGCGTGATTCCGCATACATGGAGATAATCACGATCAATATATGATTTGTTGCATGTAGAACAAGTTGAAAGACACGTGAGTGCACTAGAAATATACAGTTAGACGTTGCTGCTTGTTTTACTCGGTAGTATTAATTGAAATAAGTAATATAATATCTAGCATATCGCATATTTTATAGATTTAAAAACATGACAATTACAAGAAATAATGAATTAACTGTCAAATATATAGATTTATTTAGACTGTTCCATCTTCAGATAAGCTATATGGTAATTTACCTATTAGATAAACAGAAGAGTAAGAGCATGAAAATAAGAGAATAAGACAGTGAGCTGCAGTTTATCGAAAGATGGAACAACTAAGCCTTAGATATGCAGATATAGAGAGCAAGCTCATCAACTATCATTTCTCATGCTTCATTGACACGAAAAATTGATATGAAAGAGCCTTTAGAAATTTTTTAATTTTTGCAAAAAGTGAAGTCTCAGGTAGAACAGATCCGTAATGATAACATAGAACAATCATGATCACGATGTGACGTCCTTATGATATTATTATGACTTGCGTTCTACCTGAAGAAATGTTTGGTAAAATAATCTGAAGTCATCTACCGTACAACAATTCGATTAACAGTTCGAGCGTGAAAATATGTCGATCAAAAGATCGATCTGGTTTCTCTCGTGATATCTCCTCGTTTTCTCTGTACTTTCACGAGAGCGTGCATCTGTAAAAATGCCTCGAAATGCGTGCTTTTGGTGTTTCCGTCGTATGGGCCAAGCGCGCCGTTTCGAATCCTTTCATTAAAATGACTTTTCGGCCGTTAACGTGCCGGTATGCCTAAGTGCAGGAGAGACATACTCGATACTCGGCGAGAGCGAGCAAGGCCTACAACGTGTTTGCGACCGAAATGCATTTGTGTTGGAGCAGCTGTTACTCTATCGGGGCACGCGTCTCAACGGTCGTGGCAGCTGCCCAGAAAATCGACTATGGTAGCCTCACTCTAAGTTCTTTCCACAACGATCTAAATTGCAGTTGTTTTTATTTTATACATATAGTTACATCATTACTATAAAATAAGAAATGTTTTTATATTATGTATGTATTAAAATATAAAAATTAAGTAACTTAATGTACATAAACGGTGTGTGTGCGTATAGAAATTAAATCCATAAAAACATAATAAATAACTAATGCGACATAATAAAACAATGTTTATTTATAATATTGCTTCTTTCAAAAGTTTTTTAATTTTCTTTTTGAAAAAAAGGGAAATAAAGAGCTTGTTATGTTTAAACATTTTTAACTATTTACTATGGATAGAAAAACGCTTTTGGTTTTCATACATTTTTTTATGTAATTACTTATAAAGAGGAAACGATTATTTAGTAGAATGTTCAAGAACGTCATGGGTTTAGCGTAAACATTCATATTAAATCGCGAAAGTCTGATAATTTACTCCGATGATAAGCACATTCTTCGGCAGGCATTTAAAGTTTAAATTACGTCGTCAGAAAGGTTGTCCGAACAACAGAAGCAACGGTCGAAACCCTGAGCGAAGTATATTATAGTTGAAGGGCCCCCACTTTATGAAAAAAGGGACACCGGGCCCGTATTACGTGAAACCCCTCCGTGACAACCCCCCGAGCAGTCACACATACACGGGCAGATACGAGGGAACGCATGGAGAAACGCCCTTCGCGCATCTGCTGTTAAGGGAACTTGCGAGACAGTTTAACGAAGGCAACGGTCGTGAGCACATCGCGTAGAGAATGAAAGTGCTCATCCTTGGCGGACATTTTTTTATGCGCTGACACATTGCATTCTGTTCATAAAGAGAATTGATTTTTAATTCTATAATTAAGATCACAACATTTAGAATTTAGTAAACTTCAATCAAAAACTACAAACGCGTTTTTATATAGGTGTAGTTGCTATATAAGTTAATTATTTCGGTACATATAAGAATCCTAATTTAATGGCCGTGTTCTTCGAAGAAATTCGGTGATTACTTCAAAATTGGTGTGTGGGCAATAATGCCATTTAATTGTTAAGGGACATATTATAGAAATGGAATGTGTAATAACATTTTTTAAAATTTGTGTACAAAATGTGTAAAAGGATTTGCAAATTAATATGCGAAATTGACTTGCCATCAATGCAAATAGTGAATTTCGCATTGGAGACTTGGCGATCTCCTATTTATGTCAGTAGTATGCTAATTATACTCGTCAATCGATCTTAAATACTAGTGATTTTGAATATTTATGTTGATTCCTAGTTAATGCATAACAGTGCTTAGAAGACTCACCAATTTGTGCGTGATCGGAAAAGAGAGTGTCAACAATATTAGTGAGATTTATCAGTGCTACATGGTATTTAATTTTTTTTATGTATTTTGAAGATCTGACACGCCTGTGATTATGTACTTTTAAATACTCAGCATTGCAAAAGCTGTCGCAAAAAATTTGAATCAATTATTATTAATGAAGTACGCTAAACAAAATATTTATTAATTCTTGTCGTGTTTTATACTCGGATTTAGAGAACATTATATTTCGACGGAATTTGCGACAGCCCGTAAAAATTCACCAAGAAGTTATTCCAATCTTGTTAAGCGTACTACTTATTTAGCTAATAACGTCTCAGATTTAACCATCTAACTCTCAATTTATCTCTACAAGTTAATGCTGGTATGATTCATTAGAGTCATACCAGCTCAACCTAATTCGTAATCATCTTCCTTTCTTAATCATCTCCTCTGATCTTTATTTTCTTAATTTTCTTCGTTCTTTTTCATTTTAACCATTTTCTTTTTTTTATTCATTTATAATCATTTTTATCTTCTAAGTTTCTCAACGCTCAAAGATTGCATTGCAAAAAACGTCTATTTTTCTTTTTTTTATCGAACAAGCTAAATACACGTCATTCGATGAGATAGTTACGAACAGCAATCATGGCTCAGCCACCTGAATCGGTGCCGGTGCATTGCTACACGAATCCGTCGTTTTGCCGTCAATCGGAGTACATCCCGGACGATCATGTTAACGATCTACCGCCGCCGCCACAGCAATTTCAAGGAAGCGACGATTTACCGCCGCCTCCGCCGCCGTTGCAATTGCAATGTCACGTCGTGGGTCAGAGCAATCCGGCCTTCCAAGCTCCGCCAGAGACAACGCTGAATGTCTGTGAGTCGCGGGATCGGTATTGTTATTTGGAAGGTAACAGGGCCCCCACGCACAGGAGATACGCCAGTCTTCCGGTGGAGGAGTCTCGCGTGACTTACAACCAGTCCTTAAGATACGAATACATAGAGCAGGACGAGGCGGAGAGAAGCCAGTTGCCGCGCAGGAACTCGTCGAGGTACGAGTTCATTCCACACCAGCAGGTGCAACAACGTTCCGCGCCAGCAACCAACCAAGACGATCGAGGAGGGCCGCAGACGCGAACGTGTCGTAGCAATGCCGGTAGATATGCTGTTATACCGGGTGATCAAGATTACCAAGAAGATGACTCGCAATGGAGCAATTCAAAATCGCCACCTCGACATATCAACACTCCGCAGGGTAATTATTCAACGTTTAGCTTTACTTTTTGAAATATAAAAACTTTTCTTTGTGTTTGTCATCGGTTATTTAAGGATGGGTCACATTTTAAATTATTAAAAATATTAAAAATATGTAAAATCTCTAGATTTTATTATTATATACATTCATAATTATCTGTACAAATTTAAGTACAATTTTTTTAATCTAAAAATTATTCAATTTTAATGCTTTTTTCTTAATTTTGATGTAAAATCGAATTTTGCAGTATTTATTTGCAAATTTGATAAGAAAGTAGTATTATAAATTAAATCAAATTTTTTAATATACATATACTAATAAAATTCTAATAAATATTTATGCAAAAGTTTATTTGGATCCATTTACTCGTTTAAAAATTATTTACCCAAATCTGCAATATAATATGATAGTTGTTGAATTGCATAAATCAAATCATTTGTTCTATTTTTTGCAGTTGGTTTCAAGGAGTATTTAAAAATTTTTTGCCTGATGTTGACTAATACTTTATAAAATATAAAAGTAGATATAATATATAAATTATTCAATAATTTGAAAGGGCTACGAGCCAAAAACAATGTTATTGTAATACATAAATTATTATTCAAATTTGTACAATTGCAACAGGTCGTTACGTCAGAGTGCCTTTGCAAGAAGAAATTCCGCCAGCGCTTCCCGACAGAAACGTACAAGAACTCTCGGTATCTCCGAAGAATAATTTAGCTACTCAAAAATTACACGAAATATTATCTACACCCAGAAAACCGAGATCCAGGTCTGAAGAGAGAACGTTATCACCGAAGAGGCAACAATCTTTCAATCAAACCACCACACCGCAACGAAGGGCGCTCACTCCTGGCGGATCTCCAAATGGTCCGAAATTTATTATTGCATTATCCTATTCGATGTTTATAATATAATAATAAATAACATTTTTATGACATAGTAATAAATAAATATTGTATAAATTAAACTTTGATCAATTTGTCACAAAATAGAAAGTACAACATTATAAAGAAATGTGCTTAAAAATGAAAAATATCTTTGAATTCTTTAGGTACTATACTTTCATTAAGTTATTGATCTCATATATCATATTAATTAATTTATAAATACTTATCCAATTATCAAAATAAAATGTTTTTTTTTATTTATTTTTATCAGGTCGCACTTTTAGTCCAACGCGTACGACTCCTCAAAACACACCTCAGCGAGCCTTCTCGCCTATAGGACCTCAGACTTCGACACCTAATAAAGAATCATCAGCTCGCAGATGTCTTCCTCTGTTAGAGAACTCGTCACGACAACAGGATCTTTGTCCAGCCAATAATTGTGGTCGACTTCGTTATGTCGGTACTGCCCCAGTCGATTTAATGAATATGAGTCATGAGCCACCACCTCGCTATGCTTACACAGAAAACGGTCTTGAGTCCATGCCGATGATGTCTGGATCGTCCAAGTATCAAATGATACCTGCTGATAAGAAAAATTATCAAAGCGTAGAAAGCGCATTTTTGGCTCGAACTGCCGTCGTAAGTGATATTAGGCAGATAATGATGCGACAGAGATAAAAAGAAATAATTATCAGTTTAACAAAGATTTTCTCGTATATTAGGTACCACCATTATCTCCACCGAATAGCGATGCAAATACCACTCTGGCGAGCAATTTGGAAAAAAGTGATAGAAAGAGCGCACCAATACTTCTCATATTAGTCGGTCTTCTTACATGCGGTCTTGCCTTGTATCTGTCCTGGTCGCAAGGAAGAAGGTAGAAAATTTTCTAATTTCAATAAATAATTAATTTTTTTTAATTTAAGATAAACTTATCAAAGAGTTAATAAAAATTAAGAGAGTGAGAGAGAGAGAGAGAGAGGGAGGGAGAGTAAAAAGATGCGTAAGAAGATCCATAAACTTGAAATAAATTTCAAAATTAATAATAATCTTTAATATATATATATATATTACACATCCTGATGTTTTATCTTATATTTATTATTTAAAAAAAACTTTTTAAATAAGAATTATTAACAATATTTGATGTCAGTTTTATTTAAATAGTAATTATAATTTTTATAATAATTATTATAGAACATTTTAGAAGCATGTGTTTTATATACATAAATGTCAAATAATTTTGTAATCAACATTCAATACAAAAATATTTTCAGATACTATTTTGACAGTGCAGTCGGTTGCGGTGCCTGCTGTGCTTTAGCAGGTGCATGTAGAAGTCTGCGAAGGACCTGGACAGGACTCGGCCTAGCTGGACTGTCGGCATTGAGCTGTGCTGGTCTTTTGCTACTTGCAGCTAAATCCCCAAAGGATGGCACACCTCTTCACGACGTCACTGCCGGTGCTCTGTGCGGTGTGTCGGTTTTAGGCGCTGCTTTAGCCATGGTGGCTCTTCTGAAACCAAAATGCAATCTTGGACGTCACAGACGAGTACATTCTTGGATACCACGGTTCTCTCCTTAAATCATAATGCCATTCTGCGACGATTGTTAAATATAATCACATTTATTTTAAAATTGTTCTTCCTGGATGAGGATATGTAAAAATGCTACTATAAGGCAGTTTAATCATATATATGGTAAATATTCTTGACATATATATAGTTGAAAAATATTTTTTATTTTATATTATAAATATCTATATAGAGACGAAATAAGTTGTTCAAAGAGTCAACCTACTAAGAATACACTTTAGAAAAAGTTGTGCTATGAATGAAAAAATATGACATTTTTCAAAAAATGTTTATTGAAGTTAATAAATTTTCAACTAATCTTCAAAATTTTAAAATTACTCTTCTGTTCAGTCGAATATATATAATGAGATCTTAGTAAAAAATTCAAACATATACAACCTAGAGATCGTTGTTGTTTATAAGTACTGTTAAATAATATTGCTTATAAGGACCGTCGCTCGTGCTCTATAAATTATAATTTTATTCCATTAAAATTCATAAATTCTTTAAAATTTCCTTATTTATGTAAATACGTACATTAAAATTCTTATATTCTCATAAACACGAATTGTTTAAAAATTATTACATTTAAAATAAATCATGTGTACTTATTATTATTATTATATTATAACGTATTAGACAGCCTTGTAAATGACACTATCAAGTCATGATACCATTTCCACGTACAAAAATTTCAAATTGGAGATATAAAAAACAACTTATTTTTTATAATGATTATTATTTTGTATGAAGTATTTTATAGAAAAGAAAAATTATGTGAAAATATACTGTATAATAAAATTTCAAAGAATATTTAAATACAATTTTATTTCCGTCCTTGCTTATTACGAATATTAAATTTATATACAACATAATTATTTATAAAATTTTGTGGCAAGCTGTAAATTTTTATTAAAACTTTTTTATTTTATGCAAATCTGTTATTTGACCATGAAAACAGCGAAATATTTTTCAAAACTTTATAGATAAAAATTAAAATATAAATAAATATCCATATATAACAATATAAAAATATCTTTAATCATATCATATATAATTTTATTATTATAAAAAATGTGCCTTCTCATAAATTATAAGCCTTTATTAGATATTATTTCATTTACCTCATTTTAAATTTTTATTTGCGTAATGCACTAATGTAGAATCAATTCACGGTATTATTTGATTCTAATATAATATAACAATGATATATTTATGTACATACATCCTGTAGAATCGTCATTTCCTGATGTGTCAGACACGTTTAGAAGATACGGAATCTGTTATCGCGGATTTATAGAAGGAAGTTAAGTTCCTTTCTACCAGTTATTGCCTGTCGTCCAACAGTCTGGATAGTGTAACACAAATTAAAAATTTCAATATAAATTTAATTCTCTTACTAATCTATCGTTTAAATCGAATTATCGTGATTGAAGCAATTGAAGCCCAAGTTATTGTTTTCTAATAAAAGATAGTAACTTGATTATGCAAGTTTTACTTAAATGTATTCGATAGACAAGACTATTATTCCAACTTGATACAATTTTTTTTAAAGTGACATAGTGTGAAGTAACCTAATTAATAATTAGATATATAATATTTATTTTATTATATAATTGCTTTATATTTACCTTTCACTCCAATGACTTAAAACTTATGAAGCAAGAGTGTTTTCATTGAAAACGAAAAAAGCAACAATGGATGCGCTAATGTTTTTTATTTTCGCGAGTCAAATGCTACATATTTTCGGAAAAGTAACTGTATTGCGTGGATCATTATTATCTACGAAGCCCGACAAAATAAAATTGAGATGTCTTTCAGAGGATGATGGCGGCGCTCTTGTGTGGAACTACAACTTAATATGGCACTATTATGAACCTGTAAAAAATAATTTACGTAAGTTATTAATTAAAACTGCGATTTTATAATTTGCAGAGCAAAATATACTTACGTGTTTCACATAAGAATTTTTTTTTTTACTTCTTTACTTGTTATACATATATTGAGATTCTCTCTCTCTTACCGAAATATAGTTAATATTTTTTTTTAATGAATTTATTCACATAAAACATTTAATATTTTTACATTTATTTGCGGCAATAGATTTGTTGTAGACGTACGTTATCATTATTTCAGAGTTTCGCGATATAATTGCATTTAACAATAATACTGCAATAAATTGCAAAATGAACGAAAACGTAAGTTGCTTGGAGGAATGGACTAAACACGACTGGTATCTTACAAATTCTTTAAAAACACCTATGGGTCCAGTATTTGATCAACGATGGGAAGGTAAAAATCTCTTTTATGGTTTGATAAAAGAATGTAGTATGTGCAGAATGTATTATAAACTGTTAGGGCAATCACACACAAAATGACATAAGCTGCATGAAGCCGCTAAAATAATAAGCATCCAACATAAAAATGCCATGTTGATTTATAATACATAAGATGCTCATTCGTCTATGAATCTTATGTTATTAGTTATATAGCTTAGGTATTTTGTGTGTGATGGCCCTTACAAACAAAACATAATTTCTAGATGTTTTCAAGTAACATACAACTAAAATTTTCAGAATTTGAAGAGTATAAAAATCTTAAAGATACCTATGATCATGTAAATATCGAACTTACTACCGAAGTAAAGCTCTCTTTTTCGGTTCGTGTAGCTCACGATGCGCATATATTAATTTGCAACGGTACAAATTACAACAAAGATTCTTGTTATTGGATCATAATAGGAGGTTGGTTTAATACAGAGTCTATCATACGAAAATGCGTAACGGGAGTGCCTTTACCCGGAAATTTTCCAGCAATAGGTTCGAAATGCAGGGAACCATTAGTTTCTTTTAAGGTAAATATATATATGTAATGTGTACTTTTTTGCTTCACGTATATAGTAAAAACGTTTCTGAAGCGTATCCCAAATAGAAAAATTAATCACTTTAAGATCTTTATTGCCTACATTTACAACATCATCCTAATAACAGAATCTTCGAAAATCTAAATCCGCAAAAATTGTTGGAAGATCTTTATGCCGCATTTAAAATTAATAATTAATACAGCATGATCCACTGTCTGAAAGTGAATGGCGAACGTTTGTTGTTACGTGGAACTCTATGACGCAGAGAATAATTATTTATGATACTGATAAGATTATTATGACATATACAGACGAAGAAGAATCTTCGAGCGATAATTATCATATGTTTATCAGAAGTCCTTCAGCGATGTTACTTCGATTCCATATATGTAGGTGTAGATTTCTAATAAATTTCTATCAATCAAAATTATTTCAAATCTATAGCATCAAATAATGAAAAAAAAAATTATATTCTCATATGTATCTTTCAGATAATTTTCTGCATACGACAATCAAGAATGCAATTTTAACAAGTCCTATCTTTCAAATTAGTAATAGAACAATGTGCATACAATTGTTAATTGGTCTTTGCGCCGAATGTGAAGCAGATCTAGTCTTACTCGATTTTACAAACAATAATGTGTTTGTAACGGTAACAGCAAAAGGTTCGAAAGCAATCCATAGCTTACCTATGTGGCAATCTGTCAAAATTAAGCTGAATTCTTCAGCAATCGACTATAATGCTGACAGTAAAATGATAATCCAGTTGATTCCTAGATTAAATAAGCATAGTTCGAATCCGTTGTGGGCGATAGCGAACGTTCGTCAATGTCCCCAAGACGGTGAGAATCTTATAACTTTTTTTTTATTATATTCGCAATTCGTGATGCTACTCTTATGAATTACTTTGCATGTTCGACAAATTATTACAAAAGAGTTTTCATTATTTTATTATTTTTTAGAAGCTTTGAGGGAGGGTTTTATAATTTCTCAGGAAGATTGGAAGTATCAGGTTAATGACTATTTTTGGCCGAATGAGACATGCCAAAAATTATTTTATGATGAACATGCCACCGTGAATCATTTATCGCGCGTCAAATTTGATGTAAATCTGGGTAACTACTAATCATTATTATTTATGTTATATAATTAAAGTTAATAATATATCATATTTATTTATTAAGCCTTTAAAATAATAAATTAGAAAAATTATTTATAATCTTTAAATCTATAAGCTGGAAATATAATTTTAAAATATAAAAATGTTTTAGATGATATTGACACATACTGTCCTGAAGGAAAGATTGGACCACAATGTTTATATTCTTGTACACATCATTTAAGTAGTAACTTTGACTGCAAAGGGGTTAAACTTTGTTATGAAGATGGTTGCACGTGTGCTCTTGGTTTTTTGGGAGATAGTTGTTCTGAATGTAAATAATATGTCGAATGTTACTTCAGCAATATTTTTGTATATAAAATATTTAAACATTTAATTTTTGAGCTTTCAGCTTGTAATAAACATACATATGGTCATGGCTGTATGAAAACATGTGGCTCATGTCTTTACAATGAAGAATGTAATAAAGCAAATGGGGAGTGTAATGAAGGTTGCAACAATAACAATGAAAAAGTTTACATATCACCTTTATGTCAAACAAGTAACAATCTTTTATATAATATAATGCATGCCACTTTCGTATTATCTTCATATATATCGATTAAGCAATATCTATTATTATTAGATACAAGTGTACAAATATATAAATCATTTTACAGGCATAGACAAGCCCGACGAACCTACAATTATTTCAATAAGCGAGACGACTATTCATGCCATTATTCCTATAATATGGAAAGACGAATATGATAAAATACCAATTCTTTATTCCTTTTATATTCGAGTAACGTTTCAAATATTTTAAAGTACAATTTTTTTTTAATTCCTTAAAATAACAAGAATTAGTATTTAATTTGCTATAATTCAACAAAATTTACAATTGATATAAATATTTGGATATCGCCTATTTGATAATAAAGCAAAAGAACAAATTTAATTTTATGATATTTTTTGTAATTAATTTTATGATACATTTTTCATAGACACATCTCGAAAATATTGAGCAACCATGGAAAATATTATTTCAAAATATGACGCAACTTATAGGAAGTTTTGAGGACCTGGAACCTGGTGTTACTTATTACATCAGTTTGTTCTTAGATATTGCTGGTATAAAAATGCATAGTGGTTGGAAAGTAGTTGAGACTAAATGCAATCGTAAGTTAATATTTACTTAATTATGAATTAAATCAATTAATGTTTATTTTATAAACAATGGATTTCAAGTGTCCCCAGAGATAAAAATCTATTAGAAATTAAACAAGTTAAAATTTAAGAGAAATAAAGGAAAACAAAGTAAACAAAGGCAGAATATTTTGTTACAAAATAAAAATTCTTCAAATGTGTCTTCTGAGTCTGCGTTTCATGCTTTGACATACTTTATTGAATATTCCTGGAGTGTTATATATGTGTATTTATAATACATTTATCTAAGATACGCTTCCTTAAAACGTCAATTACATAGGAAATTCATAGTGAATTTTAAGTATCCCTAGAATAAAAATTCATTAGGATCAAATCTAGTGAGTAGATTATGCAACAATTTTCTTGCTGCTAGTATATATATCTTTGAAGAATGATCGTTTATGACAAACAATTTTTTAAATAAAATTGTTTTTGTTTGTATTTCTTACACTTCGTCTTGATTAATTTGTCTTGTTTAATGTTGCATTAATTGTTTGATACTGTTAAATAATAAAGTTCCTTTTATCTCAGAAACTAATCATTTTTAGAATAATAATCAAAATATCATTTTAATATTCCTCTATAATAATTCTTCGCATTACAATGCAGCGGTTGAAAACTTCAACATAACGCCTAAAGAAAACAGCATTACTATCAATTGGCTAATCAATCCAACGGTACGTAGGTATTTTATGTTATATTTAATTTAGATCTCTTTTAACTAATTGTATTTGAATATTTTATCATATACACAGTATTTTAAAATAAATGAAATTTATTTTTGTTTCTTTTTATTAAAGCAATTATATTCATGTCCGACAAATTGGTATTATCTGACAGTTTCCAAAATAGATACAAGTACGATAGTCAAAACTTTAGTACCTACATCTTTTGAATACGAATTGGAATACTTGCCGTCGTACACTTCTTTTGAAGTGATCATATATCACAAAAATGATAAATTATTTTCCCAGGAAATTCGTACGCTTGAAGGCAGTAAGTTTACTTCAAAATATATAAAGAACAAGTTTTTTTGTATATTTTTACAATATAGATGTGTATATTGTGATGCACACATATGCTTTATGAAAAATAAAATTTTATAAATATAATTCTCTCTCTCTTTTTCACAGTCCCATCTAAAGTGTTAGATCTTCAAAGTATGTTATCGGCTAATACAGAACTTATTCTGATTTGGAGAGCTCCACTTGAACCGAACGGAAACATAGAGAAATATGAAGTATCCTTAAAGGTAATAAATGCACATCGAGAAAATTGGTTATCATTTAAAATCAATTAAAATTACTCAATTTTGTATCTCAAGCTAATTTATTTTCCATTAGTGTTCTACAGTAATTACGATCAAGCACGATATTATTAAATCGCACGCAAACATCAAATTTTAATTATTTTAATTATAATATTAGAGTTTTTATTGGAATGTGCTTTAATTTATTATGTTCTGTATTAATTTTAGGTTGAAGAATACTTTGGTTGTAAGAACTTAAAAATATCTGCTCCAATTAATCACACAATTACAAATTCTATTACAAACGTACCAACGATCACAATTCAAGATTTACATCCGTACAGATCTTATAGTGCGCAGGTCAGAGCTTATAATTCACGACATTTCAGCACGTACGCAAAGACAACCTTTAAGACAGCCCAATCTGGTATATATATATCATTAAAAAAAAATATTATTATTAATATTACATATAAAAACGCCAATCAATTAATTTATTTAATTGTTTATTAATTTCTGTAATAATCATTAATAATATATATACTGATATCATACATATATATATGTATATAAGCTTGACACAAAAAAATAAGAATCAATGATTTTATAGAGATAATACATCAAATCTTATTCGGACCATGAGAGAGTTTCAAACTAAATACCGATGAGAATAAGCCATTTACGGTCTCTAAGTTAGATCTTGAATGCTTCTAATATAATTTTCGTGTGAATTTATATACGTATAGAATTTATATACTTTATAGAGATACCGTCAGAAGTATTTAGTCAGTTGACAATACAAGATTGGATACTGTCATGGAGTGTGCCCGAAGATTGTACGACGATTTCAGGACCACTAAAATCCAGAATAAAAATACAGGGCATTAGTGATGCTGTTAAATACTTTAATACAACCAAACAGACTAGCTTCTATTATATCGATTTGAAAGGATTAGATCAGAAATTAAATGGTCTTGAGCAATATAAGGCAACAGTGTACGTAATAAGAGAGTTTGTGAGCAAAGAAAATGCCTCTGCTTATCAAACATTCGAGTTCGAAACTCCACCAATAGGTAAAACTTGATATTAATACTTGATAATTGTTTTTCTATGACTATAATGTAATTAAAATAACAGCTCCACCCAGAGTAACCAATTTAGAGGTTGTCGAGTTTGATATTCAAAAGGAAATTATATATCTGAGATGGCAAAGTCCGCTTCCACCTCTCAACGGAAAATTACGTAATTATGGTGTCCAGTTATGTGATACATATTATAAAAAACGTTGCTCAGATATTCAAGTTCAATTCAATGAGTTTTGTGACTTGTGGGATGATTATATTTGTAGAGCTATTCACAAACCATTGATATTTAATCAAATAATTAAGGTAAAATAATGTTAAGGTCCATGACTTTTTCAATACTTCTGGTAAATATAAATAAATTATGTGGCATAATAAAAAAAATAATGAATATAAAAATTGTATTAAAAAATATGTATTATAGGTTTTTGCGTACAATATAAACGTCACTGAACCAGGCCTTCCAGTTGTCGTGACTCGTGACATGCTTCATAATACAAGTAAAATTTTTAATTTAATTAATAATTGAAATAACTTATAAAAGCTTAATACATTATGAATTGTCTTGAGATTGAAATTATAATTTATATACACATTAATATTATATATCATAATTTGCGATCTTTACTCTTTCTTTCTCTCTACTATAAACGCATCATATCTTTATTATGAATACTTGCTAAATTTTCAAAAAAACGTTAGGAAGAAGTTTCTTCTATTTTTGTTATATATTGTAATTTAAACTGTTTAATTTTATTATGTGTAATAAATAATTATTTAGTGTCTTCTCACATTTTTGCTGATGTATATTACAAATCAATTTAATTATTGCTTCAAATAAATATTACACTCAGTTTACGTTTTAGCGCCGGATGCACCTGGGAATTATACCTTTACAATCAACAACAACAGCGTGATTGATCTAAAATGGCTTCATCCTTGGAGAACAGGTGCTCCTCTTAAGTCTTTTCGCATTCGAATAGTAGAAATCTCCTCAAATCTGAGAAGACGCCTTTCTCGATCATTAATGGATAAAATACTTGAATATCCGGTGACACAATACATGCGAAACTACAACAAACAATTATATTTGTTTCCGTCAACGCAATACGTTATCTATATTCAAGCTGTAACAATTGAAAATACGTCCAGCGACACAAAATTCGTACAAGTTCGTACGCCTTCAACTGCAGCTTTTGATAGCGTTCTAAATGTAGCGAACAAATTCGATTCCACGATTTTATTAAATATACCGTTTGTTATAAATGACACTCAAGATAGCATGATGTACATTATAGTAAAAGGTCATAACCTTTGCGAGCAATATTTAAATGTACCTGAGAAACTACGAGCGCGAGTAGGCATAAAGATGAACGAAATCGCTTGGGTAGCTGCTGAAGCTTCTGTATGTATACAAAATAGTTTTGAATTCTATGCATGATTTTAATCGTGAATAATCTTGCAATAATATTTAAGTAATAATTGATTAACTACAATAATTTTTTAATATTTGTAATCTCGTTTTATGTATATATAACTAATTAAAATAAGATTAACGTTACCTAAGTCATAATTTTAACAAAAAGATATAACTTTGGAATGTATATTTAAAATCAAATATTTTTGCTTTCAATTGTGGCAGACCAGTGAGTTTGCTGGCAAACAATTCAAGGTCGGTGATAACTATATTTATGGTAATGCAAAAAATTGTCCATTAAAATCTGAAAGATATTATGATATAATGATTATCGTAACTGAACGGAATTTATTCACCGAGTCCATTATGCTTACAAGATCGGTTTTTATTGGTGAAATTTCATCGCAGCATCACGAAGCGTGGATCGTACCTGTTATATTACTTCTTGTTGCGGCAAGCGTAGCTTTTTACTTTTACCGAAGGTAATATATCTTTCTATTTCTTAGAAGACAAAGTAATACTATTACATCCATTTGTTAATATTTGTCATGTAACCACTTCAAACAAAACAATCTATTGATACCACAAATCAAATATTAATACCGTACAGATTCATTTTATGTTTACTGCAATTTAACGCATACTGTAATCTTTTTACAGGAAAAAACAGAAATTGACTGAGCAGTTAATGCAAGACGAGATGATTCTGTCGCAAAACATTCAGAACTTTGGGCACGAAATAAAGTCTGCGATATCGAATTCGAAGCAAGATCTGTCTATTTCTTCTAATAGACAATCTCTATCGCGGACAACCACGCCAGAAATACCGATTGCCACCGCAAACAACAACGATGAGAAGGCGGAAATGTCGTCATCAGTGAAGGTGAAAAATTTCGAAGATTACGTCAAGCAGGCGATACAATTAGGATTACTCGATAAACAATATGAGGTAAGTTTTCAATTTTAGTTTTAATTCTGGACTATTAAATTGCCTTCTCGATTTTTCTGAGAACTTTATATTTTCGCATTGAATTAAATAGCACAAAATTTTAATCATATATAAATCTTTATCAATTTATGGAAAATCATATTATTTCTTTTATTATAACTGCAATTTACAAATATATGTCAATGTAATAAGATTAATTTGCGGTCTTTTCTCGAGACATTTCCAAGAGGACAAACTAGATCATGGGATTATGGGAAATTACCGCAGAACAAATCTAAAAATCGATATGGAAATCTTATTGCGTGTAAGTAAAAAGTCAACCATAGAATAATTTTGCGCAGTACTAACTTAATCGCTTATTTCTATTTGTGCTGATTTGTACAGATGACGAAACGCGTGTGATATTAAAGAAACTTCCGGATGACGCTCACTCCGATTACATCAACGCTAATTACATCACCGTAAGTCCTGATTAATCATAAGTATCTCAGTTTCGAAATATAAATAATATTTCTGTTACATAACATTGATAATTATTCAAAAAGGGTTATAAAAAGGATAAGCACTATATAGCAACACAAGGACCCAAACCCAACACAGTCATCGACTTCTGGCGCATGATTTGGCAGGAAAACGTTCTTATTATCTGCATGTTGGCAAATGTGATCGAAAATGGAAAAGTAAGCGTTTTGGAATAAGCTTTCATTAAATTATAGTTTTGCATAAATAGTTTAATGATAATGATTTTCTAGACAAAATGTGAACAATATTGGCCGGATATTGGCAAGAAGAAGAAATACGGCGACATCATTGTGCTAAATGCGAAGCACAATGTCTTTGCTGATTATTGCTTCAGAACTTTTACTGTCACTTGTGGAGAGGAAACTCGTAAAGTATATATATATATATATATACCAACATTTTTTACGCATATTAGAGAGACGCAACTTTTATTAAACAATACACAATCATAGATAGAACATCTGCATTATACGGCTTGGCCAGATCATGGTGTGCCATTGTACACGCACTCTGTAGTCACGTACTTGAAGAAACTATTGGCAACACCACCTGGAAATGGACCCGTGATAGTCCATTGTAGTGCTGGCGTTGGAAGAACCGGGACCATCATTTTGTGCGACATTTGTCTTCGTCGAGCAGCAGCGGAAGGGGTAATAATATTTTGTTTATCGCTTTGATAATTAACTGTATTCAGTATTTGCTTTAGTGGCACAATTTAATATTGGCATAGTAGGTTACCTAAACATTGGCTCAACATCGGCCCAATACAACTTTAACATTTAATCAAGATATCACTAATAAATAGCTTATTAATACATAGATTAGTGAAAAATAATGATTTTTATTGAATAAAATTGTTTAGCTGGTCGATGTTTTTGCCGAAACGGCGTCCATTAGAAGCGAAAGAGCTAACATGGTGGATAACAAACAGCAATATCTGTTAGCGCATTTGGCATTAGTGGAATGTTTGCTTTCTATTCCAACCACATTACCGTGTAACGAGATGTTACTGACACAAATCAAAGCGTTAAAGAAACAATTGCCGCTTCAACTGCAAAGGTATGTCTTAAAAACTCAATTTTAATTTATGTTTATTCTTGAGCTGTTTGAGGTAGGTAATATTACAAGAAATTAATTATTCCATGACCCTTTAGATTACAGAATATTGCATGGCAAGATGACGCTCTGCGACAAATTACATCCCCTCCGCAATTGTTGGAGTGTAATCGAGCTAAAAACAGATTTCCAGAATTGATTTCAGGTTTGTTTGCGTATTCTAATTACATAGGATTTTATTTTATAAACATATATTCTAATTTCCAAATTATTAATACATGACGGTAAGAAATTAAATACCAAGAAATTAAATTAATGTTTTGTGTAATTAACAATAAATTTTTGATATATAATAGTAGGTATCAGAAATACTTAAAAAAATATATTTTTCTATTTTATTTATTTAAAATATCTCTCATACAATATTATATTTTTCTATTTTATTTTTTAGATAAGATTAGTAGAATATATTTGAAAAGATACCCAGCATCAGACGAAGACAGCGATTATTTATCCGCTGTTTACGTAGACGGAGTAAAAGTTCAAAATCAATATCTAGCCACGCAGCTTCCCATGCCATCAACAATTAATGATTTTTGGCGAATGATTGCTGAGTTCAAAGTTGAACTTATTCTGATGTTGCAGCAGCCTGATTTTCAGGATTCTGTATGTATACTTTTTTCTACATATCAATACAAATTATATTTATAAGAAAAAACGTTTAGCAAAATCTAAATTGTATAATTTGAACAATTATTTTGCTCATTTTGTAATTTTTAAATATATATAATTACGTAAACAATATAAATCAGCTAATTGAGATAGCTTACAGTATTTTATAATCTATCTCAATTAGCTAATTTATATTGTTTACATAATTATATAATTTAAAAATATTTTTATCTCTCTCAAACATCGTATTAAAATAATAATAATAATTAAGTTACATAAATGCAGTTGTGTTCATAAATACAACTATTTATCCTTGAAATTTCAGACTTGCTGCGCCATTGCTTCTGCAAGCGGCGAGTTTAAACCAGTTCCATATTTGAATATCATAATGAAGGAAGTCGTAGAGTCTGAGTATTATACGTCACAAAAATTGTTGCTCATTGATAATTCCGAGGTAGATAAATTCAGTAGTTTTCATTTGTCACTACCTACTTGATGATATTTTGTCGTAGAAACCCTCGAGAGAACAATTTGTTACTATACTGTGTTTAATGGAATGGAAACCTGGAAAGGATCAACCACCACCGCCGGTTATAACGATGGTAACCCTTTGGCAAGCGGCGGAGAGAATTGCGAGAAGCGATGGGCCCACTGTCACTCTTTGCCAGTAAAAAATATATATAATATAATATCACTATTCTAAGTCCAAAGAAAAACATATACAATAATTCAAATTATCGTGTTTTTCTTCAGTAATAAAAAAACCTTTTTTACATAATCTTGTATACTTTCATATTAATTTATATAACAATTAAATATTAAATAATTTTCTCAGAATTAATTACATATATTTGACTATAGAGTTAATTATATATATATTTCTTTAAGCAATGTTTTGTAAAATATTAAAAAACATAATCTTTCAGCGACGGAGTAAATGGATGCGGTCTCTATCTAGCATTGAGTTTCTTGCTAGAACGTATGGCCGTCGAAAGAGAATGCGATGTTTCTTTAGCAGTGCGAGCTGTTAGACGATCAAGACCAGATTTTGTTCATTCCCTGGTAATATAATAGTTTTAACGAAAAGAGGAAACTTTAATGAACGTTTCATGGATACAACATCGTATTTATCATTCTTAAAATACAAAAATAATTATAAGAAACTTGAAATAATATATTTAAGTCAGAAACTTTATTTAATGTTTAGGAACAGCTGGAGTACCTTTATGATGCGGCAGAGACATATTTGAAGTATTTCGAAACCTATGCGAATTTTTCGTAAATTAAAAAATAAGTTATTAAGATAATAAAGTAGCATTACATTGTATAATAATAAAAAATCGAATTGCAATATTCACATGTATTAAATACTGATATTATTATAATATTTAGGTTAATGTAGAAAATATTTTTATCAACAACTGTATTTTTGGAAACATAAAATATTGTATTATGGAGAATAATAGCGAGTATAACTTTGTGCTTTTCTCAGTTCTTCTATTATATTGTATGACCAAGGTAAACCACCTTCGTGTTTATGGATACGCCCTATACGCGACATACACGATATTTTTTATACGATAATATGGGAATGTGCATACCATTAATTCGAAATGTTAAGTGATGTAACTTTTGTGAGTAATATCGTTAGCAACTAAGTGAATTTGATTTATGACATTTTTTATGATATTTTTATGATATTTTTTAATGAAATTATGAATAATTAAAAGTGATTCTTTTATTTAATCAGTCGTAACTCACAGTAATAAAAAAAAATCTTAGATACGATTTTTGGTTTGTTTAAATTTTACAATATACTCAAGATAATACAGATTAATAATAATACATATTTTTATTCGAGTAAATTATTTTCTCCTTCTAATCTTTTATATTTATAGTAGTTGTAAATTTTTAATTATTAGATAAAATTTTTTATGAAATATATAATATAAATGTAGTAAAGATTTCTTATAATAGATACAAACATAAAATTAAAAAAAATTAACGTTTTCTTATCAATTAATGATTCAAAACTTTTCAATAAATTAGCGCGGTAAGAAAAGAACAATAAATTTTAACTTCTATCTTTTAAAAATCACGTGCTAGAACTTTGCTCATAAATTCCGTGATATTGAATTACAATTCATTTAAATAAAACTCCTGTTTGAAATGCAATTTCAACGGCCGTGACCGACACTCAGATTTCGGCATTCGCCAAAAGAAAAGTAAAGATTTCATGGACCCAACGATCGGTGACCGAAGCTGCGGATATCCCTGCTTCTCGTAAAGTCTTCATCTCGCCGACAGAAGGCGCCGTCATCGTGGACCTCGCTGATAAACAGCTCATGCTACATACCACAAAGAGACGCGAGCCGTCGCGACGACGCATACGAAGTACCTCCGGCGCGCAATTCTCACGTGTGTTCTACGCGTTTCCGGTCACTGTTAATAGCGCAAATTTGCCGCGCTGAAAGAATATGATTTCCGGTGTGAGCGTTCAACCGTCAAAGGCCAAGGAAATATCGAGAGGAAACTAGGGCGTATTTTATGCGGTCGTAGCCGCACCGCCGTGGAGCAGCAGGTAAGAATTCTTCGAATAAAGTGCGTGCGTGCGTGCGCATGGCGAACACGTGGCGTCGCGACGGCGCTTCGCGAATGCGATGGCCCATCGTTCCGCATCGATGCAGTTCCGTTCTAGGCATCGTAACCGTTGGCAGGTAGCGTCAGCCAAACTTAACGATCGACATGTCACAACCCAAGGCCGCGGAGGACATGTTTGCCGCTCGAACTCGATTGCTCGAAATCGCTACGGTGCGAGATTTCCCGCTCGTGTTTGAACGTGTCTCGTTGAGCGACCTTGCCCTAGAAAAGGAGAAATAAAGAGAGAAATTTAAGATAGATTTTCCCCGAAAGTTTTTTTTCGGCGTGGCCGCGTCGCGACTCGTAAGGCGGTACTCTTGAGACGTCGAGCGGACTCCGTTTACTCCCCGCTCGCTTGCTGTTCGTTTTTCTGTTATGTAAGGATCACGCTCTGTAAATGTGCACAATCTTAGACGCCATCTTAAACGAGTGCGACTCGTGCCGGAATTCGAATGCGCTACGTTTGCAAAATTCTCATAATCTATTGCTATATTTGAAATATAATGCGCAGAAGGATAGAAAGTTTGTTGAAAATAATTCACAGATTTTCTGTTCGGGAAAAACTGAAGTCAGTTGAGTTGCGTTTAAGTCAATTATCTGTACTGTAAGTGCGGAAAAATAAACATCGTATATGTCGATTACTTGTCAATTACGATACATTATCGAACAATAATCTTTTAAGATTAAATAATCTTAAAAGATTATTGTTCATGCTTATATAGTTTTATAAAGCGTGATTCTTATACTATTTGTCCATTGGATAAACAATCCTTTCCGCACTCTATTAGCACAATTTTGGCACAATATTGGTTCAATATATCCCCAATGAATGTCAATGGTTAAGCAATATATCGCAATGAATTGTGCTACATGATTTTCTCATGAATTTTTATTATTTTTTTTATTCGTTTCTTATTCCTCACTTAAAAAGATTTAAACAACATTATGATTAATTTTAAATCAACACATATTGCGACGATGATTGCAACAAAATACATCCCAATCAAAAAATTTTTATAAGCATAGATTAGATTATAAATTGATAACAATTATTTCTTGAATAACAATTATTTTAGAGTAGATTAGATTATAAATCGATAATATAATTATTTTTATGACATACACTGTTAGATATCAAAGGAATAATAATAATAATTCAATATCTTAAATTAAATAACATTTTATTTTTTCATTTATATATATGTCAAAATGTATATTAATTCATTTCTATTATTATAAATTGCTTATTTTCAAAGTAAACAATACGTCCATATAAAATATTTATTAAATGATAAATTAAATTTTAGTAAAATTTAATATATTTATGGAACGAAATCGTTTAACTTCATTTTTTTAGTTAAATTAATGACATATTGAGTAAGAGTAGTGACTACCTATAGAAATGATTGAAAATAATTCAAATTAAGTATAATTTGAGATTATGAATTTTATATAATGTATAGTACAATATTAAAAAAAACTACCATAAAAATAATAAAGTTTATTACAGTCAGAAAATAAATAAAATTCCGATATTCCTTATCATATAAAAAACAAAAGGTTTTCTTTAAAAAAATGTACAGTACATTATCTGTAATTAAATCTTCTTTTAAATTACGAATAATGATGGTACGATAATTTGCTTCATTGATAAACTATTTAAGCTAATTAAACTCTGAATCTAAACGATAAAATTGCGTAGTAAATTCTTACAACTGTGGAACGTTTCTCGAATTTTTAACGATAAGGTTTTACAAATTTTTAATTCGGATACGGAAGATGCGTATTATTACGGGATATCGTGACATTCTGCTATCAGATAGCTGATATATCGTGCAAAGTAGGTCTTCAAAGTAACAGCTATATGTGCCACTCGTGCGTTTTCTGTGAAAATCAAGATTTTGCGTAAAAATTTACCGAGTGCTAATTATTTATCAATCGCGTGACGCGATGCATACCAACTTTCAACTGCAACTCTGTAAACTGTACACGGGAATATAATATATGTTACACAACTGAAAGACCTTTACGTTAGGAATTTATTTACGTGGTGAAGAAGAAAAAATAATATAAATTAATAGGCTACTATGGCTCGTCTATTAATTTATGTATTTTATATTATATATTTCTTCTTTAGTTAAAAAAACTTGAGTCAACACATAAATGCACATTCTTGATATTTATTGAAAAGTATTTACGCCTCTCAATCGTATTTCATGCATTTCACGCATTTGAAGAATATATTTGCAGGAGTTTCAAACAGTGTATTTACGTTAAAATTAGATACAGTTTTGTTGACGGAGACGCGTTTCATTATTATGACGTAATAAATGGCAGTGCTATTTCTTCACTGCGATTAGACGTTAACGACCACACGTTCAGCATATGTTTACGCACAGTTGAAATTAAAGGAAACTTTGGCTCGAACTTCGGACTTTTTAATGCAATGTCTCGCTTATTCTTCATGCAGACAGCGATGTCATACAATTGCGCCTAACTCTGACAATCGATCCGACCGTGGCCCAAGTTGACAGCAATTTAAAATCGCTTCTGCTCCTTCATAAGAAGATGTCCCGCGGGGTAATTCCGATTACAATTAAGATCCATCCGGCGCCATCCGCGGATCAACTATACGTTCTTTTCTACTTTCGCCAAAATCTCACCGATCATGACGCGCGAAAACATCCTTAAGACACTCTCGCAATCGTTTGATATTTCAAAGTATTTCGGTACCGATTATATATTCTGCTTTCGTCACATTTTACAGAATAAATCGCATGCTTTTTTATATATTAAGTATCTACATTTAGAAATTTCTAAGTATATGTACAATAGAATCCAAAGAAATTTTTATGTATAGTGTATACATAATTATGTGATATATATTTTGTTCTTGTATTTATAATACTACATTTAAATTACAAAGTATAACTTTAAAGCTGATTAAATGTGTTGAATACTGACTGTAATAATTTTCATGAGATAAAGAGATAACGATAAACTCTTTCCAATGTGATAATGTTCAACAGAACGGTGTATTGTAAATATCACCGAGAAATCTTCTAATGATAAGTGAAGGCAGCGTCTTTTCAGGGTAGAAGATGACGTCGCCAAAAAGTGTCAAGGCACGCAAGACGGAGACTGCGACTAGAAGCTGGACGGCAAAACCGATTTTAAGCTCAGATTTCACGGAAGCTCCTCCGCTGCAGGAGGTCTATGTGGGCGTTTTGAAACAACGGAAGGACACCTCCACCGCAATCAAAAGTATATCTACCATTTTGCCGGGATTCGCTCACTTAAAGCGCTGTTCCAACGGAAAATTGCTTCTGGCTCCGCTTCATTCGGACAAATCGTCATGTGAGAAATACCACGATATTTCTGTCGGTGAAAATGAACTTAAAACTCAGCTGAAGGAGAGAGGATTCGATCTCTCTTTGCTGAAGGAGAAATTTCAAATAACGAAGGTGCCAGCCAAGGCACCAAGGACGAAGATGCAGGCCAACGAAGCTTCGAAAATCTGGCCGGTAAATTTCCATCCTGACCAGACAGTTGAGAGCCTAATCGACGGCTCGATCTTCGATGACGATTGTTTATGTGCGATCGAGCGAATCATGTCATTGGTAATAGAGGCTGCCAGGTTAG